TGGTCAAGGCTAAAATAGTCAAAAGCGTGACCATCATCACCATTTCAAACTTCCAGACTCCATTAATGGAGCTTATATTATCCCACATCTCCTCCTTCCCTCTTTGCAAAACTTAACGTTCGACAATGTCTTCCTCCACCACCCAAACAACCCTCAACCGCCGTGAAATTTACCGTCAAACAGACCGAATCCTCAACGCCAACTTCCTCCACTTCATCCCCATCTCTCTCCTCTTCCTCCCCCTAACCTTCTCCGCCGCTGCTGCCATTCAATTCTACTTCTCCTCCTTCTTCGAATTCATCGACGACGACACCTACATCGATCCAACTACCACCCTCCTCATCAAAACCATAATCTCCTCTTTTCAATCCCTCTTCTCCCCCAAAAGCCTAATTACCGTCCTTGCCTTCACCTTCTTCGTCATCCTCTCAACCGTCGCCGGCATAGCATTGATCACTTACACCACAAACCAAGCCATCTACCTTAGACATATCACCTTCTCCTCCACCATCAAATCGCTCTCGTATTCCTACATCCCCCTTCTTTCCACAATCATAGCCGGATTAACAAAACTAATCCTCATCTCCCTCTTACTTACCCTTTCCCCAATCGCAATTACCGAAGCCAACAAAGCCTTAGGGTTCCCTTTCGATCTGCCCATCTTTTTGATATTCTTAGTTAACTCGATCGTTTTTTTGGTTCTTGTTGTATTCTTCATAACAATTTGGGGATCGGCGCCTGCAATTGCAGTGTTGGAACTTAAATCAGGCTTCGAGCCTCTACGACAAAGCGCAAATCAGTCGACTGAGTTTCGATCCCATTCATTTTTCATATTGTTTAGCTATGGCTACTTTATCGGCCTAACGATGTTTTTTATTTCTGGGTTTTCTCCGATCTTCGGCCGAACAACAACAAACTGGATTTTGATTTTGAATGTTTGTTTCGTTTGTTTGCACTCATCGCAGATGATTTTGCGATATGTTGTAGCGAACACAGTGTTGTATATACAATGCAAGGTAGCATGTGGCGAAGAGTTTGTGAAGACGGCGATGGAGGGGGAGGTTTCCGGCGAGTATGTTAGCGTGGCTGTTAATCACGAAGGCGATAATGTTTCCGATGAAGAGCCTAAAGTGGAGGGATGTGGAGGTTATACTTGTATCTTGTGGGTCTCTTATCTACTTTGGATCCTTACTTTGTAATTGCATGGCTCTGACCGTTAAACTAACCACCGTAATGTTTCAAAGTTCAAACTGGTGTAATTAAATATTTTTATGAATTAATAATAATAAAATTTGGACAAAAAGTTGATTACCGGCAACCTCAATCGACCTTATACGAAACCCGCCTCCAAAGAATCAATGTGATGGGCATTTGTTGGCTCACCGGCTGAGGCTATCGGGGGTAGGGTTGCATAGGGGTTGGGTTGAGTTGGTCGGATTGAAGATATTTGAACAAACCAACCCAACGTTACGGTTTGAGAATTCTTAACCCAACTCAAGCAAAACTACAACTCAGCCAAAACCATGTAGATTGAGTTGATAGGGTTGAAACTTTGGTACATCATTTTAGAATCTAACTAAAGGGTTGTTTACTTGCGGTTTAATTAGGCTTATTGGTCTATCTGGCTTATTCGCACAGCTCATTTGAGTTGTTTACTTACGGCTTATTCACACATAACATGGCTTAATCGCACATATAGAAATAATTTGTTGTCCCATTCAGATACAAAAATGACACCCCTACCCCTTATTTAAAGCACCGCCTCCTTCCCATATGAGACACTCCATCTCCGGCCTCTTTATGATTTTTTGTTTTGATGTTCAAATAAATAATATTGGGGGTAAATCAGTCATTTATGTTATTCAAACTGTTGGTTCAGATACAAAAAAGTAAACAATAACACCCATTTATCCAGACAGACAAATTTATCTGGACAGACAAATTTATCCATACAGGACTTAATAAATTTTTTGGTAAACAACCCCTAAATGTTTGTGTTTAAATAAAGTAAAATTACAATGAGAACGTACAAAAAAGACAAACAAATTTAAAAAAAAAAAACGTTGAAAGTTTATGCAAATAAAAAAAATAAAATTACGGTTGAAATTGTAATGCAATTTTTAATATATTTAATTATGGGTTGGTCTAGTATTTGATATCGGGTTGAGTTTTTTTTTTTTTTTTGGGGTTTGGGGGGGGTTCGGGTTGGTTGGTTTTTTGAGCTCCCTTAAACGGGGATCAGGGATCGAACCCCGGACCTAAGGCCTGTTATGTATTTGGAAAAAGTCGTTAAACAACAACGTTTTCATCTTCTTTATCATCCTCCCATCGTCGCCTACATAGCATTGACCGCTTACCGCACAAACTAGGCCATCTACCATAAACATCTCACCTTCTCCTCCACCGTCAAATCACTCTCGCATTTTCGTTCCTGATATTCTATAGGTCCTGAACAAGATATGAAACGGGCCCTCGATAAGTACAAATAAAAAAAAAATTCAATTTATTGGATGAAGGTGATATTAAAAGTGATCAAGGTTTAGATGTCTTTCTTACTTCTTAATTTAACTCCCGTTCTCACACAATTTTTCGTCATCTAAAATAAGAAATTTATTGAAGTTAAATATAATTTCATTTTTAAAAAATTTGTATTTCGATTTTCTATTTTAAAGAAATTTTAAAAAATATATTTCCTGTCAACATAACGAGAAATCTGGATGCTGGGTAATTAAAATTTAAAAAGAAAATAAATAATTAAGTTTAGTTAAACTGAAAAAGAAAATGCCACGTCAGCCTTATCTTTCAATGTGCTTGGTAGAAGAAATCTTCATGGAAGTTGAAGGTCACTATTATTGATCCAATCCCGACCTCTACGTTAAAAGTTTATATGAAGTCATTCTTCATATTCACGTGAGTAAATCAACCAAATAAGTTTAACAAGTTCTAAAAATTTGGCATGTTTTCGATCCCCTTTATCATAAACAGTTTATTCCAATAAAAAACGAATGCATTTTATATGAAGTTCTGATATAAATAATAGCATCACGTATTCTTTAAAATGGAAATTTTTCGTGAACTTTTTACTACAGTAGAATCAAAACTCCCTATAAATAATTACTATGAGAGAGTAATAATTTTTAGTTTTATTTCAGCAATAAAAAATCTTGAAATTAAATGTTTTGTTAAGAAAAATAATATTTTTAGTAATATAATATTTGTTACAATATCTAAAATGGGTTGGGTTTCGTCATTCCAATGAAAATGAAAGTTATGGTGAGAAAGGTGAGAGGTATCTCCACCTTTGTATCGATCCTAATTAAAGATCAACAATAATGAAATGCATAATATCAAACGTAATTCATGAGGTTAGGATGAGAATAAAAATGACCAATGGTCCAGATCCCTTTTTAAAACAGATTTTGGGCATCTTTTGCTCCAACAGATTCCAAAAAAAAATCCCAAAATGTAGAACTATAAAAGAGAGTGTGAAATTCTCCGAATATAAAGAACTCTTCAAAAATGATTATCATAAAAGATAAACATTTTTTATTATATTTCCACCAATAAATGTTTATGAGAGATAAATAATAATTTATTACATGTATACAATGTTTTAATGATATATTCAATGTAGTAATATTTAAAATGGAAAATTTGTTGGAGTTAAATTTAATTTTCTAGAGAGATTTTGAATTTCGATTATTCATTTTGGAGAAAATTTGAAGAATCCATTGGAGATTATAACATCCATATCTTAATTGTCGCCATTAAAATAATTGTTAAATAATGGATAGGGAAGATGGTCGTGGAACAGCCGGCACGCGGCAAAGGGGACGGTCCATGCAACCTGGCCAACGGCCCAAGCCGCGGCTCGGATTGTGCGTCTGTCTAGGCTATAACACGCGACCTGCCATGCAACCTAAGGTCACATGCAAGATCATGGGGTGTAGTGTAGAGCTTTAAAATCCAATTTCCAGTGATTTTTTCTTCATTTGGTCATATTTCACTCGTTTTTCATTCGTATAAAGCCATTTTGGAGGCTATAACTTCGTTTGTTAAGCTCTTCAAGTGGGGGAACAAGCAGAACCGAAGTTCCCTTGTTGATTTGTGGTTCCCATAAATTGAAAGTTAATCCCAAAACCAACCATATATTTCTTAACTCAGGGTTTGATTCATATCACTTCTACCCTCATTCTTCTCTTTGGTTTCATAGAAGTTCAAGGCCATCATTTCAACTTGCAGACTCCGCTAATGGAGCTTATTATTATCTCAATCCTGATCTCTCCATTAAATTTTACATGAATTCATGTTTGTACTGAATATATGTTTACCCGACTAAACAAACCAAATAAGTTTAACAAGTCCAAAATATTTCGCTTGTTTTCGATCCCACTTACCATAAACAGTCAATTCCAACAAAACAACGAATGCATTTTACATAAAGTTTTTATAATATAAATGATAACATCACAAATTCTCTTGTATGCAAATTGTTTGTAAATTCTTTGCATTAAAAAATAATGTACTTTAACTTTATTCATATTTTGAGTAACACATATTTAAAACTTTCATTTGGTACATAAGATGCAAAGATTTAAACATTTAAGTATTCAGGTAACCAGTTGAAACATTAACTGATTACCATGTTGATGTGGCAATGATGTGATATTCGGTTAATGTTTTAGCAAATAATACTAAGTTGGATATCACAACACTTGCCATATCAGTATCAATATAGGTAACTGATTAATGCTTCAACCGGTTACCCGATCATTTAAATATTTAAAATCTTACATTTTAGATATAAAAAAATGAAAGACTAGAAAGTATATTATCTAAAATAAGAATTAAGTTAAAATACTTTAATTTTTTTTATATGTAATTTGTCTTAAAATTTAAAAATAAAATAAAGAATTAAGTTTATTTAAATTATAAAAGAAAATGACACTTCAGCCTTATCTTTCCACACGCGAAACGGAAGAAATCTTCAGGGAAGTTGAACGTCAACATTTCAACTTGCAGACTCCATTAATGGAGCTTATTATTATTATCCCAATTCCGACCTCTCCTTCTACCTTCTCTGCAAAAACTTAACGTTCAACAATGTCTTCCTCCACCATCCAAACAACCCTCAATCGCCGACAGCTCTACAGTCAAAAACACTCCGAATCCTCAACGCCAACATCCTCCACTTCATCCCCATCTCTCTCCTCTTCCTCCCTCTAACCTTCTCCGCCGCTGTTTCCATTCAATTATACAAATCCTCCTCACCGGACATCAGCGCCACCACCTACTTCGATCCGCCCACCCTCCTCCTCATCAAAACCATAATCGCCTCTTCTCAAAACCTCCTCTCTCTCAAAACCCTTATTATTGTCATCGCTTTCACCTTCATCGTCATCCTCCCCGCCGTCGCCGGCATAGCATTGATCACGTACAGCACAAACCAGGCTATCTACCATAAACATCTCACCTTCTCCTCCACCAGCAAATCGCTTTCGCGTTCTTACATCCCCCTTCTTTCCACAGTCATCGCCGGATCGATAAAACTAATCCTCCTCTCCTTTTTCTTTACACTTTCCCCAGTCGCCATCACCGAAGCCATCAAAGCCTTAGGGTTCCCTTTCGATCTAAGCATCTTTTCGATCTTCATAAACTCAATCGTGTTTTATGCTCTAGCATTCACTGTTGTATTCTTCATTGTAATTTGGGGTTCTGGTCCAGCAATCGCGGTGTTAGAACTAAAATCAGGCCTCCAGCCTCTACGACAAAGCGCAAATCAATCAACCGAGTTTCGATCCCATTCATTTTCAATAGTATTTGTCTCTGCCTTTGTTATCGGCTCAATGCTGTCAAACTTTGCTTTTTTCCCGATCATCGGAACTGCACCAAAGTGGATCTCGATTTTGAACGTTTCTTTCATTTCTTTGTACTCATCAGCGATGATTTTGTACTATGTTGTAGCGAACACTGTGCTGTATGTGCAATGCAAGGTAGCATGTGGCGAAGAGATTGTGAAATCGGCGGTGAAGGGGGAAGTTTCCGGCGAATGTGTTATAGTGGGTGTTGATGAGGGAGACGATAAGGTTCTTTTCCATGAAGAGCCTGAGGAGGAGATATTTGGAGGTTTTACTCGTATCTTGTGGGTCTTGCTTCTACTATGGTTCATTATTTTTTTACTGCAGTTATTATGGTAATTCTTTACCCGCTCTTAAGAGTCAACACATTGTCACACACATACATTCGATCATGCACGTGTTACAATACCACAATAGCAGGCTTCAAGAGGTATCTCTTTTGTTTGTGAATGTTCTGAGATTAATTAACGTTGTATCTTATTTTAATAAAAAAAACTACAAACATGTTATTGTATTTATTAAATAAATGTCAAAACAATGCAAAGTTTGTTGAGAAAACCAATAGGTTTCAGACAAAAAATATATATATTTACATTTAAAAAAGTTAGGGAATTTTACTATTTTCAAGAAAATAAAATAAAATACAACCATTTTTATGAAAAATAATGCCATTGGATCTCGATAGAGGACTTTGAATCATGTACGATCTCAAATGTCTTTCTACCTTTAACTTCCTCATCCCAATAATTTGTTGTGCTTCCTATTGAATCGCCTTTACCTCCTCTGATAGGAACAAGTTCAACTTCTAGGCATGCATCTTCTTGTTGTAATAAGAAAAACGAAATGGCAGTGTGAGTCGAATTCCACCATGAAGTGTGCTTCAATGAACCAAATGATATATAACACATGCTACTGCATCTCTCCCTTCCCTCATCTTCATCAATGTCATCATCACACCCCTCCAACTCATCTTCATCAATGTCATCACCACACATCTCCAACCCATCTTCATCAATGTCATCATAACACTCCTCCAACCCATCTTCATCAATGTCATCATAACACACCTCCAACCCATCTTCATCAATGTCATCATAACACACCTCCAACTCATCTTCATCAATGTCATCATTACACACCTCCAACTCATCTTCATCAATGTCATCATCACACACCCCCAACCAATCTTCATCAATTTCATCAGCTACCTCCAACCAATATTCATCAATTTCAACTGCATCTTCCCTATTATCCATTACATCCATGATGGTAATTACCTGATTTTCGGGATAACCATTAATTTGTATTAAGAATCCACTGAATTCGTTATACCAGTTCCAAGGAAGTTGTAATGTGAATGCTCCCCCTTCAAAGTCACTTGTTGAAAATGTATGTTCAAAGTCTCTTGTTGAAAATGTATATTCAAAGTCACTTGTTGAAAATGTAGTATCAACAAAATGGAGGCTGATAAAGTGGTTCTCAAAGGCATTTCCCTGTCATTCGATCGATCATGACAAATATTAATTTGTTTGGGTCTATATACAAATACTGAAATTCAACAAGAAGATAAGATAGGGTCATACCTGAAACATGGATTGCAATACCCTCTCCTTGTTACAGTTTCTGGTTGGAAGTAAGACTTTCCACAACCATGTAAGGTTTGTTGGAAAATCTCCTAAAATTTTAAGCGACTTGCACCTGCCTGCTTTTAGAATAGATAGGTTTGATGGGAGATCCGGTAATTGTACAAGTCTATTGCAATCTGACAAGTCAAGGAATTTGAGACGAGTAAGGTGCGAGAGGCTGCAATGCAACTGTGAGAAATCATTTCCACTTAGGTCTAATACTTGTAGGTTGGATAACTCCTTGCAAACAACAGACATGTCTCCATCTACCAATTTGCACCATCCAAGACTCAACCTTTTTAAAGAATGTGAAAAGCCAAGACGCTTACGATCAAGATTCCTCAAGGATATGTAAGATAAAGAAAGCACATGTAAACAACATTCTACGTCAAAAAGGCCCTCCACAGGTATCTTAAGTTGCTTACAATCATTGAGATGAAGCTCTTTCAAATGTTTTAAGAGACACAAGTTGCCTTCAATCTTCTTTAGATGGAAGCAACTACTGAGGTCAAGTGAAAGAAGCTTGGTACAATATCGTCCAACTGATGAGGGCAGGTATTCTATCTTAGTTCCTCTCAAACAAAGCTTTTCCAAACTGTCCATGTTCGATTCGATCTCATGGAACTTGCAAAGTTGAGTACAATTAGAGAGTATAAGCGTCTCCAACTTTTTCATCTTGATGATGGGTGGAAATATCTCAAGGCTTGTACAGTGTTCCATGTCCAGGAAAATAAGCTTTTCATGGTGTCCAATTGATGGATGAATCTGTTTTAAATTGGTACAGCCCTCGAGTATAATTCTTTCAAGACATGGAAGTCCTTTAAAATCCGGAGTCCTGATAAGGTTTTTAGAACCTCTGAGATCGAGCACTTTCAATCTTGGTAGATGCTGTTGTACACAATTACACACAAGTAAGATGTCAATATATTCTTCAATAACATAGAGCGTTGAGAAGCTCATATACAAAAACATAGAAAAGAACAAACACGAAAACAATATGAATCATAGCATTAGCATGAAATCAAATTCATTGGATAGTTTTGGTTTGTTTTTCACATGACTGTTTCATCTATGAAACAATACATATACGGAGGTCAATGTATCAGCAGAGAGAGGAGCCAACATGATGATTCCTAACAACATCATATTCATGGGATCATTTTTCACACATTTCTCGACATCAGAACTTCTAAAGATATTATAGATGACGCATGATATGTGATCACTACGTTATAATTCATGCATCACATTACTTCCTAAGAACTCGATCCTTGCCAATTCTTAAACAACATTTACTATATTAATCAGAGAAACAATAAGAATTACCTTATAACCTTCCCAAAGTTGCTCTACAAAGCTACTCTCCAATTGTAGACAACAAAGCTTCGTTGGTTGAAATTTTCTTGAAAATGAACTTGCTCGATATTTATAGCAAGAAATCCACCGAAGTTTCTTCATGTTTGCAACAGCCTCAGGAAGACTAGGAGGCACGTCCTGAAGCCATCCAATTTGTAATGCTTCAATCGTGTCATTTTCCTGTGATAAAGGTGTTATTCTTCATGATCAATATGCCTATATAAGACATGTACTATACAAATACAATGCTAGATTAATTAATAATTACCGTTGTTGCATCCATAGCACATATGTTTACAACATCTTCCTCCTCCCAAACCCTGCTGTGTAATTCAGGATTTTTAGGATTTTCTCCTCGAACGATGTAGTGTCCCATTTCTTGTATTAGATCATGCATATCAAACCTTCCTTCTTCCGACACAGTTATGAGAGCCTTTTGTATCAACACCTTTACCCCTATGATTGGGTGAAAACCACAAGCATCAAGTATCACCATTGCCTCATCTTTAAATCTTCCCCTAAAAAAACATGCAATGTCTAGGAACAACTCTTTCTCCACTGGTTCAAGTCCATCATAGCTAATCTTTAGCTTTTCCACAATATCAATATCTGGGATGTCTTTTAGTCTGGCTAAGGCACTCATCCACTCACTCTTGTCTTTGTCACACAAAAATGAACCCAGAACTATAAGTGCTAACGGGAGCCCACGGGCATAAGAAATCACAGCTTGTGAAAGCCTCGCATAGTCTTCCATGGGTCTACCATGCCGAGGTGCATGCTTGTAAAAGAGCTTAATAGCCTCATCGTCATTTAACAAGCAAATATTGTACATCACGTTTACTTTATGAGCATTTAATAAGTGGTTATCTCTAGTTGTGATTATTATACGGCTTCCTTCACCAAACCAATCGTGTGATCCAGCTAACGACTTTAGCTGGTCAAGGTGATCGACATCATCAAGAACAATCAACACCTTTTTACGACAAAGCCGACTCTTGATCAAGCATCTTCCTTGTACAACTCTGTTTACTTCCATTTGTTTTTGTTTCAAAACAAGAGAGAGAATTCTTTCTTGCAATTTTGGCAAACCATCAGACTTGCTTGATTCTTCCCGAATATTATCTACAAAGCAGCAACCATCAAACCTGCTAGAGATCTCATCATAAAGAGCAGATGCAAGAGTAGTCTTACCACCACCCCCAATCCCCCATATTCCAACCATCACTACACCATCTGATTCCATTTTCATCTTTGATTTCAAATGTTGAAGGCGAGCCCCTATTCCAATTAGGTCTTCATTGTCACTTGAAATTGCAGCAGATAGTCTGCTTGAAATTGTGTCGACAATTTCTCTGATGCATTTTGCCTCATGCCTGGACATTGGATTTGTAATTAATAAAAGATGCTTTAATTGAGATAAAACTTGAGAGGTAATATGCCCAAAAAAACACTTATATGACAGCTAAGAGTACAATTACCCATTGGCGATGTGCTTGGTTTCCCATCCAGAAAGGTTGCCTACATCAGTAAGTGCTTTTCTCCAAGATACGACGTTTTTATTCTCCGACTCATGTTTTGCAAGAGCTTCTCCATATTTCACCTTTTGTTTTCGGACTTCAGAGGGATCCATGTGATAGAATATGGGCATAACGATTTGGCCTCTCTTGTCCTTACATTTCATAATATACGCAAGTTCATCTAAGCACCAAGAAGAATCGGCATAGTTTTCAGAGAATACAATGACAGCAATCCGTGATTCTTCAATGGCCTTCAATAGCGATGGACCGATGGCTTCACCTGGAGCAAGTGTTTCGTCATCTTTGTAAGTGTATATGCCTTGTTGTACAAGAGCTGAATAGAGATGATCCACAAAGGTCTTGCGAGTGTCTGTTCCTCTAAAACTAAGAAAAACATCATGATTCCACGACTGAGAAGATGATGATGCTGCCATTGAAGGGTTGATTTGTTTATAGAAAAGGCTGAGAAGGAGATAGAATGTGGTTTGAGATGATGAATGAAATGAAGTAAATGAATGAATGCGAGACGAGGCCATCCATCACCTTTATGAGGAAATTTCCACCATACGATCAAGTCCCTCCACTTTTACTTTAAAGTTTAAAGTAGCAAGCAAATCATGAAGGAAATTTCTTGGTTGCTGCTTGTAGAATTCATATAATTAAGGAAAAATTGTTTTCACTTGATTTTTATTTATTTATACTTTTTACATTAAATAGAAAGGGAGTGTTAATTGCACCCCTAACAAGGGTGTTGAATGCATGAGAAATTGAAGTTACTTTAAGTTCCATCAATGCCAAACTCAAAAAGTAATATATTATATTTTATTATTAATTATTGTTATAATTTTTATTTTATATATATATATATATATGTATGTATGTATGTATATATATATATATATATGTATGTATGTATGTATGTA